ATCAGTCAGGACGGGCTAGGCTGTGCCGCAGTAACAAACAGCCCCACAGACCTCAGCGACTGCAAACCACCCAGGGTTGTGTCTTGGTCCTGCTCCATGGTCACTGCAGGGCATCCAGGCTCCAGGAGAAAAATCTTGGACCACCTGACGGGCTACACCCGAGGCAAAAGCTCAGAAGGAACAGTTAGAGCTCCAATCGGAAGCAATACTTCTATTGTGGATGAAAAGGGGTTTTAGGGAAAGTCACCTTGCAGGGGTCTGATCATAGCCCTTCCTGGGCAGGTCACATGAGCGGTCACGCCCCAGGCCTGTACCGTCTTTAGTAAAAAGCTCGTCTTTGCCTCGAGCAGCCCTCTCCACTGTCTCTGCATCTAGGTCAATTCACCTTTGAAATGAGTGCTTCCCCTACCTCCTTGTCACTTTACTTCCCTTCCCCCCTTAACCTCAAATGCACAAAAGAAACTATCACCCTTCAGAGCATTTGACATCTTGCTTCCTGGCAGTTGTCCCGTTTGGGCTCAACTACACACTCACACAAATCCTTTATGGGTGTGGACACATCTCTGATGTCCACACCACTGACAGCTCACTGATGGTGCAGCTCCAACCACAGAAGGGCAGGGAATTCGCCCCCATTGGGTGCCCAGAAGCTGGAAGCCGGAAATGCCCTCGTAGCAGCAGGGCCCCATTTTACAGATGAGGAAGCCAATTAAAAAAGGATACAAATAAATTGCCCAAGGCCTCACACCTGGTTATTGAAAGGGTAGGGAGAGTTGGCCCCTGACAACACCGCCCTAGGGTGGTGATGGGTGTGGTGGGAGTGGCTGCTCACTGCCCATGACACAAGGCAGAAGAGTGTTGTCCCTCTGTCTCAGANACCACAGCCGGGAGCCTTACCTGGAAGTCGTACAAAGCCACGATGTTTTCATGTTTCAATTCCTGGGACAGAAACCCAAGTTTCCTGTGAGCCGGCGGGCCCCACCACCACCCTGTCCCCTCGGCCCCCCCTCGGCCCCCCTCCACCCTGTCCCCTCCGGCATCCGGCGCCAGCTCACCTTGAGGATCTTAATTTCCTTCCCCAGCAGCGTCTGGGACTTGGCGAGGTTCTTCTTGTTAATGCACTTGACCGCGACCTCCAGGTCGTGCTTCTGAAAACCCAGAGAGGATGTTCCTCAGGGGCCGGGGCTCCTTCCAAGGCCGTCACCCCCATGCCAGGGAAGCACCCCGCGCGACCCTGCAGTGAGTGAGGGTCCCGGCGGTGTGGGGTAGGGATGAGGGGCCCCAGGAGATATGTGGGTTCCCGGGGTGTGGGGGTGGGTCCCGGGGGGATGAGGGGGTCCCGGCGTGTGGGAGTGGGTCCCGGGGGGATGATGGGGTCCCGACGTGTGGGGGTGGGTCCCGGGGCATGGGGTGGGTCCCCAGGTGAGGGGGCCCGCCGCCCTCACCTCCCGGTGGCGCCCCTTGAAGACCACTGCGAAGGCGCCGTGCCCGATCAGGTCCTTGCGCGAGAACTCGAACTTGCCCACGGTCTCCAGGCCGCCGCGGCCCGGCTCCATGGCGCGGGCCGGGCGGGCCGGGCGGGCGGCGGGCCGGGCTCAGGCGGTGGCGCGGGCCGGGGGCTGCGGGCTGGGGGCGCGCGCCATCTGGCAGGCCAGGCCCGCTCCCTGCCCGGCCGCTGATCCTGACCCCACTCCTATCCGACCCGGTTCTGACTCAGTCTACGACCCGGTTCCGACCGGGGCTCTGACTCCGGCTCCGGCCGGGAAACAAAAGAGCCGCGGCGGTAGGGCCCCAGAGCCTGAGACGCCCGCGCAGGCGCAGAGCACTTCAGAGGGGTGGAGCCTGGGGGCGGGGCCTTAGGGGCGGGGCCTGGCGGGTGTCCGCGCTTAGTGGATGGCGGGGCAGGCGATTGGGCGGGGCCTGAAGGGGCGGGGCGGGACCTGATCAGAACGGGGCGGGGCCTGTCTGTTGGGGCAGGGCCAGTAACGGGCCCTCCTGGGTGGAGGTGGGGAGCCGGGCCCTGAATTCCCTAGGGTCTGCGTGTCCCGGGGACGCACGTTTGTCACCAGTAATACCTGGAACGTCGCATATGTACTCTGGGCTGAGGACTGGTTAGAATAAATTCTTAGGAAGAGAACAACTGCGTTAGAAGTTATGCATTGAAAACTTGTTCTATAGTAACAAACGGTCCGCCAAATAGCACCAGAACCTAGGGAACAGCCCACAAGTCCACCAGAGAGGAAAAGTTAGACAAATCACAGGTGCTTCCTTCCTGTAGGATAATACACAGCGAATCCTTACACTCATAGCTCGATATATGTATACTCACATGGGAGGCACGCCAAAGTTTATAATTAAGGGAAAGCAAGACGCACAACAGCGAGCCGGGCTACTCTTTATCCTTTAGAAACTCGCTCGAGGGGTGTGTGTATACAATACCTACACATGTCTATAGTTTCATATATGTTTATGCATGCATATGGCAGGCAGTACTATATATACTATATATGTACACGCAGTACATGGTGCAACAGCTAACCCAGTGCTCACTGCACGCCAGGCATGGCCTTACTATATATTAACTCAGTTATTCTTCGCAGTGAGTCCATGAGGTACCTGCTATTATAGCCCCATTTCACAGGGGTGAAACGTTGAAGCCCAGAGAAGCTAGGTAATGTGCCCAAAGTCACACAGCCAACAAGAGGACGAGCCAGGATCGCCTTCACACAAGCAACTGTTAACAGTGGCTGCTTTAGGAGAGCTGGTCCTTTTGCCTATGCCCCCTCAGGACTAGTGTGAATGGTTCTGATCACGTTCAGTGTTGCCTTTGCCAATGCACAATCCTGGACAGTCCTCCTGCCACCCCCCAACCTTCAGTGATCGCCTTGGATGGTTGCACCAGCCTTCGGAACAGGCTGCCCGGCCAGGGCCCAGCTGCCACACTGCTGCTCTGAGAGGAAACCCCTGAAGCTCTTCACCTGTCCAGTCCGTCGTCCTCCTCTGGGCATCAGAGGCCATCAGAGCTGGAAGGGAGAGGGGTCTCCAGGCCCTCCACTTTGTGTTCCAAGGCAGTGGCTGCCCTGTGGTCAGCCATCCACCCTCACGTCCTCACCTTCCCTCTTTTAACCTGGAGTTGCCACAGGGAGAAAAAGAGAAAGCTCCCGCCTTCAGGAGCTTCCTGTTCAGTGTGAAGGTGGGGACAGAATGGGCCGTCATTACACCGAAGGAGAGTGCAGAGAAGAGGGAGGGGAGCGAGTGGGGGCCAGGATTGCTGGAGGGCCCTTAGTTCCCCTGCAGACTCTCCTGCAGGAACCCAGCCCACCCTGGAAGGAACCTTCACCCTAAGCTGCAGAAAGGACAGAGCAAGAGCTGGGAGGGTGAGGGAGGTGAGGCTGGCGCTCGGAAACTTTACTGGGCCTGCCAGGGAGGGGCAGGCAAGAGACCCAACCTGTGCCCTTGGGCCCTGCTTGATATTCCCTCAGGTCCCTGCTCCCCTCTGCGAACCCCACCCGCTCGCACCACAGTCGGTCCTTATTATCCAGATTCCGTATCTGTGCATCTGCCTCCTCACAACGGTTGTTCATAACCCCAAAATCAGTACTCTCAAGCATGGTCATTTACAAACGTTCACAGCGGCAGAACATGTGTCTCCCCAGGCACACACCCCCAGCTGGGAGCCAGCTCTGTCCTGTGAACACCTGTCCTCATGGTCTATTCACAGCCACACTTTTTGTATTTTTGTGCTTTTTGTTGGTGATTTCGTGGTTTCAGATGGCCCCCAAGCTGAAATACCGTCCAGTGTCCCTGAGCTCAGGAAGGCTCCGTGGTAACTGCAGGGCATGTCTATGTTCCCTTTTCAGGAACCACTACGCTGAGGGCCAGGCAGCCGGGCCATTTTACTTTCCCACCAGCAACACGCATCACGCACCACGCCTTCCCCGATGCTTGTGATTTTCTGCTTTTCTTTTTCAATAGCCCTCCTCGTGGGTGTGGAGTGGTGTCTCACTTTGGTTTTGATTTGCATTTCCCTAATGACCAGACTGAGGATGCTCTCACACACTTATTGGCTATTGATGTGTCACCTCTGGAGAGATGTCTATTCAAGTCCTTTGACCAGTTTTTAATCCGGTTGAGTTGTATAGTTCCTTGAATGTTCTCCGTATTAACTGTCTGTTTTGGTAAATAAAGTTTTATGGAAACCCAGCCACATCCACTCGCTTACGGTCTGTGGCTGCTTTCTAGCCGCACCTGCAGTGAGCAGTGGCCGTAGTGGCTGTACGGCCTGCAAAGTCATGTTTGTCATCTCGCCCTTTACAGAACGAGTTTGCGACCCTGGCTTTGAATTGTAATATTAAGACGTCCTTGTGCTATTAAATAATGCTCCAGTGTGACCATGGAAAAGCCTGCTGCCCTCCTCTTTTACAAGTTCTAGGTCATTTTTCCAGAGAGGGTCATGGGACACAAAACCCTAAGACTTTAGCTTCTATCCTTCCCTCTATTCCTGTGGAACACCAGTCACAATGCCCAGAGGCGGACCTGCCCCTCAGCACTGCTGGTGGGGACACTGGCCTGGGGAGAGGGTCCCCCCCAACCCCCATAGCCCTGACCCCTCCCTCACCATGGGCTGGGCAGCTGAGGCTGAGGGGATAGATCCCCTCCAGGCCAGGCGCTGGGTGAAGCCTGGGGCAGCCACCAAGGAACTCTGTGCCTCAGTTACCTCACCTGGAGCTGGGCAAAGGTAACAAAGAGCATTAGGAAGAACAATGGTGCAGACTCCTTCAAGAGTTGTCCAAAACACCGCTCCTCCCTGGCCCTCAGGGAGCTGCTGAAGTCAGAGCCGGGATCTCATTCCCTGAAGGTCTTTGTCCTCCTCTAGGGGACTTTAGGGCCTGGGCCAGATCTCAGGAGCTTTAGGCTTTGATTAGACAGAAGCCAGGCGGCTCACTTTTGCCCCCGGGGCCACTATTGGTCCCAGGCTCTGGGAGGGGCTGGGATGGGGCTCTGCCTCTTGGCTCCTTGAAAGTTGGGATGATGACCGCTGGGAGTTCAATCCTGGGTGGCCTGTGGCCCCACCCCCTGTCCTGGCAGCCAGCCCCTTCTAGCCCCAAGCCCAGGGGACAAGCTATACCTGTGTCCCCCCGGAGCACAGAACACTAAACACAAATCCAGTTTACAATCTGGTGATTCCACTCCTGGGGATTTAAAAGAAGTCACGTTTAACTGTAGCTTTGTTCCTAACAGTGGATAAGCCTCAAAGCCCTTCATGCAAAGTGAGAGGAGCCAGGTGTGAAGGCCCCACAGCAGACCTTACCTGCGGGAGATGGATTCATCCCCGGCCTGGTTCACTGGCTGGTCACCTGGGCTGGGGGGGAAGAGGGGGGCTACTGGGAAAGGACAGGAGGGGGCTTTGGGGAAACAGACATGCTCTGTAGTGACGCAGGGGTGGTGGAGACATGACTTTTCAGTGACAAAATTCCAGAGACTGTGCTCTTCAAATGTGTGTATTCAATTGCGTGTGAATTATACCTCAACAAAGTTAATTTTAAAGAGAAATACTGTGCCACATGCCACAGCTGTGGATGAACCTGCAAAGTGAGGGAAGCCAGACACAAACGGCCCCACAGCATGTGACCCCGCCAACACCAGGCAAATCCGCAGACAGAAGGCAGACTGGTGGTCAGCAGGGCCTGTGGCAGAGGATGGAAAGGACTCCTTGTGGGTACAGGTCCGCCACCGTGCCCAGGGTAGCTGAGCTGGGGGCTGGCCAGTGTGGCCCTGAGAGGCACGCCCGGTGCGACTGTCCATCGCAGGAAGAGGGAAGCCCATCCTGAGGGCCTGGAGGGAAACACCGTGGTCCAGCGATTCCAGGCTTCAACCAGCATCCTCCCAGCCCCCAAGGGCTCCAGTCCTTGAACTTCAGCCACTCCTGAGGGAAGCTCACCCTGGAGCCTGCAGCTGGCCAGACTGGTTCCTGCAGAAGTCACCAGCAGAGTGCCCAAGGCCTTGTACCCTGCTGGGTGGGTGACTCAGCCTGACATGGATGGCAGCCGCCCTGGTCGGAAGACAGCCAGTCACGAGCCTCGCAGGACATCCTAAAAGCATGCAGCAACCCCTGCCAGGCTGTGTCACTGCGGGGCCTGGGGCAGGGGCCAGGGACCAGGGCCTGCAGCTTCCCTGGACTTCCCCAGGTGCCCTCCGAGCCCCGGGCCCCCACTCCAGAATCCTGGATGTCCTGCTCCCCAACCTGGTGAACCTGTTCTCCCTCTAGTCCTCCCCATCTCAAGTGGCACCCAGGTGTGTCTCCCGGCGATGACGCCGCTCCGTCTTCCTCCCCACCACGCCCTGCTTTCCTGTCCCTCCCCCACCTCCATTCACTAGCCACCCCCTGGTCCCAAGCCACTGTAGCCTGGTGCCTGAGCCACCCCAGGACCTTGAGTGGTCTTGCCACCTCCTTTATCAGCCGTTCCCTTTCTCTTCATCACCCTCACCCCATAGGTGGCCTGGCCCAGCCACACAGACTTTGCTCAGACTGGATCTTTGTCAAAATGCTGGTTTTGGCTCCAAACTCACCTCCTCAAGAAGCTTTCCCTGACCACCTCTAATGGCAGAGGTCTCTGGACCAAGGAACACAATCAGGGGCTCTTGAGCTTGGACGGGAGTCTGTTACATCCTTACTCTGTCTAACCTCCCACGGAAGTTTACATTCATCCTCTCGAGAGTGGTCAGAAAGACTCAGAGCTCCTCGGTGGCACGTCCCCCGTTTTCTTACCTTCATAAGTGACCACCGTTAGAACGCTTCTGGTTGATTTCTCAT